CGTGTTTCGCTTCCAGCACTCATCTTTACACGCCTTTGATTACTCAGGGTGGGTCTACATCCTTCTTAGTGTTATTATGATGCTAGGGTACTTTTAGCTTGGTTGGTGTTTACTGTCCCTGTAATCTTAGGCTGAGAGATGGACGACTGTTGGCATCCCTGCTGTGTGAGTTCTTTCTGATGCCACTCTGCTCAGTGGGTTACAGTGTGAAAGAGGACAATAAAGGCTCTGTGAGTAGACATAGTGTGTGTGTGTGTTGAGTGGTGGGAGACAGAAGAAAAGAGGACAAGGGGTAGGATGACTAAACAGAGGCCAAAGGGGGGTCCTTCCTTTCTCAGACAAACCACAGAGCCTTTGTGTGTTTTCATATGAGGTAAAATCCGTTTTTTCCAGACTTGAGTTACACTGATGCACCACAAAGTCACCCTTGCCTCTCGTGTTGCTATGGTAGCAGTAGTTGCCCGTTGCTGTAGCAGGGTCTAATATGATCTGATGAACTGTGTTTTTGTTTGGTTTTGCTTTTGATGCTACCGTAATATATTAATAGACATGCCAAGCTTTCACTCAGTCAGTGCACACGCAGCTGAATGTTATCTTATAAACATCTAGAAACATTGTTTTTCCTGTTTTTGCACAACACCGGATTTTAGAAAAGGGCACTATTATACTTCTCATCATTTTATGAATGTGCTTTATTTTTTTCATGAAAGGTCCTGTTACCTTTAGGTATTTTGCATTCTTTAATTACCTCTATATATTACACTTTTTATTGTAAGTGGTGGAGTAAAAAAAATGGCATCTAACTCAAATGATCAAACAGTGTTATTTGCACATAGTGGGCATTCTTGGCAAAGAACCAAATTTAAATCGTCTCAACAATATATCACTTTGTTACTAGATAATTAAATGGATACTTTGATCCCACAAAGGGAAATGTTTTGTTACAGCAGCATGATAAAGAGTAAAAATAGTACAGTCTACTGTAAACTGTGAATAATAAAGATAAAATAGTGCCACTAGCACCTGGTAAGGACCTTATAATATGAGATAATACAAATAAAACAGTGATTAAAAACAAAAAATATATAGTAAAAATGAAGTTAGTTAAAATAGAAAAAGTAAGACTGACATTGTGTAAGAGAGAAGTGGAAATTGCATTAATAAATAATATGCAGCCTGATGCAACAACACTTAATTTTTTGCCCATTTCTTCAGTTGAACCTATGAAATTCTACAAACCTATAATAATTCTACAAACTGACAGGCATTAAAATTGTGTTTTTACCTCAACAAGGTGATTCCCAAAAACTATTAGGTGATAACTTGGCACATGTCGACATGATGTGCAGTGTGTTCTACAAAGTTTGAGGAAACTGGAGAAGCAGAGAACAAAAGAAGAACCGGCAGACCTAAAGATCTATCTACAACAGATTACCAGTATTTGAAAGTCATGTACTTAAGAAATACTACTGTTTCTTAAGTACTGTAAGAGTGGCTGTCAAAAAAACATTCTTCAGTAATGGAAACTGTGGAAAAAAGGGCCAAGGCATGCCAAATGACACAAAAACTAAACTGTAAATCAGTGGCAACAAGTCTCATGGAGTGATAAATCCAAATTTGACTTCTTTGGTTCAAATTGCCATTAGGATTTACAACATGGGTCAAGAGAGAGGTACAACAGCCATCTGTGGAACACAAGGGTGTGTCATGATTTGTGGCTGCATTTCTGCCAGTGGTGCTGGGGATCTAGATTTTGTTCTGACATACAGTACCATCTGGAATGCATCTGATTGACAACTGCTTCATTTTTCAGCATGACAAGGATCGTAAACACACTGCTAATGTTGTCAAATGCATAGACCGGCCTACCCAATGCAATTGAACAACAGGCAGCCAAAATAAGACAAGTTAAAGACATTACGAGAAAACCTGCCTAACAGAGTTCATGCTGTGTTGAAGAATAAATGTGGGCATTCTAAATATTGACTTTCAAGCTCAAAAGAATTGTACAAACTGTTTTTGCCTCATATACTTCATTTTCATACTTTTGCACAGTACTGTAGATTCTCTGCTGAAAGAATCCATTAAGGTGTAGCATACTAACACCACCGATGGAAGCCTGGTCATCACAAACTGTATGTGTTGCATTTTTCCACTGGAAATTGCAGTTAGTAATGGAGATTGCATATCCGCATGCTTTTATTCTTGGCCCTAATCAACCATTTGAAAATTGGTCAGTCTATTTGAAAGCTGGTTACCAGGAATATTCAGTCACTAAAAATGATTTCACTTTAATCTGGCTGCAAACTAAAGTGATTTCCATGTCTTCGTCATTGGGCTGTGGGACTGTGCAAGTCCTGAGCACACAGCATAATCTGTAATACTTAAAAAATGATCTAGTTTAAATTTTCAGACCTCTAATGTGCACCTGGCTGTCACGTTAGAAGTACATGGCAGCATCTTTTACGTAAGCACACACAGCCTGAAGCGGAAATACTGGCTTAACAAAGAAAGTTGATTAGCTTAAGCCATCCACTGCAAAGAGAGCCTGACTGTGTTGAACTTGCAGCTTAGTGCACTGCTCAGAAACCAAATCTTATGGACCGTAACTTTCAAAATGCTAGCTGGTGTGAACATGAGCCTTAAAAGCATCAGAGAAGATAGCATTAAACACAGCGTGTAACAAAAGTGAATTTAATGATATGGACATTCACATTAAGTGTGCGCAGTTGGCCTCAGTAAATAGGAGCATGTTTGAGTTATGTCTGTGAGTGGTGTGCCTCGGAATATTTCTTGTATATCACAAATATATTTTGGCATGGCACGGACCTGCTCATGAGCGTTTACTGAATAAGATCAGTAACAGAAAAATATTTAGTTGTCTCTTTATCGTGTGTTGTACTCTGCAGGCGGAGGCTTATAAACAGGCCACTAAGCATAGTACAGTAACCAGTTCTTGTGCTGTATTCATTAACAAACCTTTGCAGAGGAATGCTGTGGGTTGCAGATAAATTACACTGGCGTGTGTGTTTGATCTGCTGCAGCAGTGAAAAACTTACAAGACAAGATTTAAAAAGCATTTTTATTATGTTGTAATGCCGCTTAATTCACAGTGACTTGGCTGTACCATTTTCGTTGCTCGTTTGGCCTCTTTGTGCTGGTGACATATAAATTCCCTTTGCTCCCTCTCTTACTTTAACAGTCTGTGGTATTTTAAGGGTTGTGCCCTTTTACTGTACCTGGCTGCAGAGTAAATCGCTTGTCAACGATAATGGATGGATTGACCTGAACCCATTTGAGACTATAAAAGGTGTAGGACAGTAATGTAATGCTCTTGCAAACGAACA